GCTTTAGGATTTCAGGTTTGGGGTTGAAGGTGTAGGGTTCAAACCCTAGACCCTAAACCGGTTTGCCTGTTTTTCTGTCAGGACCGTGCAGTAATGCATCTTTGTGGACTCGTGCTAGGGAGAAAAGGTCCGATAAACAAAAAAAAACCTAAACCGCGATTAGGCTTCAGGGGTCTGGCGTGCAGCTCATGATGGTTGATCTGTATCCTTTGTAAAACGAGAGTGAGAGAAGTTGGAATGTTCGGGATGAAGGAACAGGGATGCGAGGAATTTACAACGGTTTATTGGCAAACAGTCATGGGTTCCTCCCCCCGCATACTTCTCCTTGAGATAAGTAGGGCTAGTTAAGGTGAATTATGCGGAAGCCTAGTGCCTAAGATCTTTGGATCCTCAATACTGGTACTTCATTTTCGGCTGAGCCCTACGCTGATCCTAAGCTGTAGACCATAAGCCCTAAGCGCCTAAACCCTCAACCCAAACCCAACATCCTAAAATCCGAGCACTGAACCCTAAACCCTAGATCCTAAATCCCAACACCTTGAAATCCGCACCCTAAACCCTAACCCTCATCCCTGAAATTTGAGCTGTTGTCAAGGAGGATCCTTCCTCAGCGTTTGCAGAGCTGGCCGCGTCCGTGAAAGAGGCCTGGAAGAGGAGGGCTTTCGAATTGAGACTCCCAACAGTAGCTACGAATACAATGGGGATGTACAGGGATATGTAGGGTCTCTGTAGGAATACATAAGATTTGGGGCTTGTTCTTAGGGATTAGGCTTTAAGACAATTGGGGTTAAAGGGGGTTTCAATCCTAGGGCTTTTGACCCAGCAGCTTCTGAACCCTAAGCCCTAAACCCTAAGAGGGACCCTAAACCCTAAGCCCCGAAGCGTGCAGTTCCGTTTGCTTTTTCCCAGCCCAACCCCTACAACGTCGACCCGGAGCCTTCAAACGGGGAGTTTTCTCGATGAGAACCCTGATCTACCTATGTATCTATAACTCCCAACCTTAAACCCTTAACCCTAAACCTTAAGCCCCAAACCTTCAACCCTAAACCTTAAACTCTAAACCTTCAACCCTAAACCCTGCCTCATAAAGCATACTTATGAGCTAACATTTAATCTCCTTAGAGGATAGGGTAGGATGCTAGGGGTTTTTAAGAGGGTTACTAGATGCCTAGATTAGAGCTCTCTTTCTTTATACTTATATACCCTAAACCCCTTAACCCCTGGGGCGCCGCATTTTGAGCAACCCCAACGCAGGCACCGCGCGCTGGTCTCATTATCTCCTTGCCAGCTGGATCAGGCCAGGTTTAGTCTTTAGGGATTAGGTTTGAAGGATTAGGGTTCAGTATTTGGGGTTTAGAGTTTGGGGTTTAAGGATTAGGGTTTAGGGTTTGGGGTTTAGAGTCTAGGGTGTGGGGTTTGGGGATTAGGGTTTAGGATTTGGGGGTTAGGGCTTGGAGTTTATGGCTTCGGGTTTGGGGAGTAGGGTTTAAAGATTAGGGTTTTTGGGGTTTGAGGATTCGAGTGTAGGGATGATGCTTTACGGGTTTAGGGTGTAGGGCTAGGGATTATGGTTTAGGGCTTAGGGTTTAGGGTTTACGGTTTAGGGCTTTGAGTTTAGGGTCTAGGGCGGGGGATCATCGAAACCACTGTCCTGTACTGGGTGCCCGGAAAAAATCTTAACAACCTGCCGCCTCTACCCAGCCCCCATGCACTGAACCTCAAACCCTAAGCCCTGAAACCCTCAACCGTCAGCCCAAGATGCTAAAACCCTTTAAGCTCTACAGCCTAAACCCCACACCTTCAGCCCAAAACCCCAAGCTCCGTCTCTGGAAGCCCTGGAGCATAGGTGTACCTGCAACAAAGGGTGCGGGCACGGACCTGCCCAGGGCTGAGCATGCAGCATGAATCTAAGGTTTGAACAACGGGCTGCTCGCATAGGCCCTTAATCCTGGGGTTTAGGGTTTAGGATGTATCTACCAGTTATATACCCTATAAACACCTACAAGGCGAATCAACGGCCCACAGTTAGGAGCAGGTAGAGGCCCATGTTCTAGAGGCTCACGCTGAGGATCTTAGAACGAAGGTTTCTGAACGTTGTGGGTCCGGTTTTGGGTTTAGGGTGGAAGCTTTGGCCTCTCGTTTGGTGATTCCTTCGTGGCATTTTAGGGGATCATGCAGGCATGCTAGGGTCCACATAGCATTCAGCCCTAAACCCGTTTTCTATGGCCCTGCCGCCTTTGCATTTGGACAGCTTGGATTTAGGTATGCGTCACATGACTCATACATCTTTAAACCCAGTCCACAAGCAAGGACCGGCCGACTTTCAGATGTCCTCGGCAAACTCCAGGACGTTTGAATAAGCATGCTACTAAATTGTGGTGGCAGCTGCTGTGCTTGGGAGTTCACGGGTAGCTATATTACAAACGTATCTGAGTTTGCAGATGCCTTGCTTCTGGTCACAGCCCCACTGTCACTTCTGAACAACGGAAGGACTTCCAAGCATGGATGTCAGAAGTTGAAGAGTTCCACATGCCAGGATGCTGCCACCGCGCTTGGGGCCACCCCTGGGAAAGGTGGTTCCTTCCTGGCAACAGCGAGGAATTCTGCCTTCCTTTGAAGAAACTGTGGAAGCGCGCGGAAAAGGAAGTTGTGCGACTTGATGCCGAATGACCACGCAATGGATCCCCTTTCCAAGCTCTGCAACACTCTGGCTGTGTACCTGTTGGGATTAGTTCCTAATAGTTTCCCAAGACAATCCCTATCTAGTCCCGGCGAAAGAACTTCATAGTCCCCTTTTGTACCTTGATTGTCTTAATGATGGGGCGGCTGCGAGGCGAGTGTGCCTCATGACTCCGACGCATTACATTTTTCAGGGATTTACATTTTTCAGGGATGGTATAGGGTTCTTAAGAGACTACCTAGGGATTCTATTGCGGTTATATGTGTCATTTAGGGATTACACAGGGGTTACATAGGGATCGTAAAGTGTACAAGGTGTACGCATGTCCTCCCGGCTTGGAAGGCACACCCATGATTTCGTCATGCAAGCTGCAAGAGTGCTTCATCGATGCTGTTGGCTCCATGCAGCTGTAGGAGAGGGGACCGTCCGAGTTGAGTTAGGGTGGGTGGGTTGGGATGGGAAGAGGGAAGGCCAAGATACAGGTCCCCGACTGCCGTTACGGCGCCGCTTGCACCAGGAGGCAGGATGTATTTCGTGGTGTTTGATAGGGACTGAGGGAAGGGCAAAAGGCTTGAAGCATTCGATTTCCCTACTCCAGGATTTTGGGGGGGAGAGACATCTGATCCCTTCAGTCCCTACCAAGCACCCAAGAGAAAACCTTGGCAACTTCTTGCGCCTCACTGCGGACGGCTGAGGGATTGCGTCTTCAAGCATCCTCCAAAGCCAGCCAAGTCCAGTGCCTCTCGGACGTCTTGGTGTAGGGTTCATATGGGTGCCTTATAAATTCATTACACAGGAATTACATAAAGGGTTGTTAAGGGGTTCAGGTTTTTAAGCAGCACTTCAGGCTCGAAGGCTTGCCTTGCTTTGCTTTTCTCTGGCATAGACCCAAGGCACGACCGGTTGAGAAGTCGGACAAGGCGGGACGAGGGGATGCAAGTGCAGAATTTTGAATCAAATGCAATCTGTTGCTAGGTTTGCTTCGCTTTTGTGGCTGGCAAGTGTGCGTTTGGACGGCAGTGTCACGACAAGCACCCCGATGAGGCCCACACAAAGAAAGCACGGCGCCGCAGGTAAGAACAGGATTTTGGCAACCCCAACCTCCGACAACTAGGACCCGATAATTATGATAGTCACAGGGTCCTAATTTTGCGGGTTGGGGTAGCCAAAATCCCCATGTTAACGATTTCATCAGAGCCTGCACATGCCTTGCAGGCCTCTTGCCGAAGCATCAAAGAGCGCTACGCCAAGATTGACTGCCAGTGGGGTCGCGGCTGCCGCACGGATGGGCACGAAACTCGGTTTGATATCCTCCTCTGCAGCTACCTCTCTTTCATCATGAAGCTCTTGCTGGCCTAACCCCTAAATAAAACACTAAGCTCTAAATCCTAAACTCCAAACCCTAAACCCTAACCCATTGTTTCTGCAACTTGCCAGGTGTCTGTACAGGCATCCAAGCGACGAGGTCGTGGGCCCCGCACTCACCGTGGAGACAAAACCGCAGCCTGCCGCCCGAAAGCTCAGAACCTTGGAACCTTGCACCGGTGCTTGCTATGGGATAAGGGGTGAGGGGTTTGGGGTTTAGGGTTTTAAGGGTTTAGGGTTTTGGGTGGTAGGGTTAAGGGTTTAGGGCTTAGGGTTCAGGGGTTCGTGTTTAGGGTTCAGGTTTTAGGGTTCAGGCCTCAGGGTATGGGATTTAGGGCCCCGTTGCTTGCAAGACCTACGGCGGATGAAGGAAATCTTGCACCTCTTAGCTTTGCCAATGTACTTGTACTGCCTAGCATATAGGGTATAGTCTACACCCCTTAAAGAAGAGTTATATGGGGGATATTAAGGGGGATACTAGGAGTTTAGACTACAGCTCATATAGGGTATATAGGGGGGGGTGCAAAATTTCCTCCATCCAAGGTAGGTGAGAAATTCCAAGTTACAGTCAGACAATAACCTATGCTTCTTACACATAAGTAGTATTCCAAGAATCATACTAAAAGTAACACTCGCGCTTCCGTACTATACCTATGTAAGCTATAGCCTACACTCCTGGTATCCCCTGAATAAGTCGTATAATCGGAACTCTATATAATCCCTTACTTCACTCTCTTCGAAGAGTTTTGACCTTAAACCCTAAACCCTAACCTATGTAGCGCATGGCAGCTGATGTCCCGCCAACCTTGCCGAGGTCTATGCGCAGGGATACAAGGTTGAGGCCAAGGCTTTTCGGCGTTGACCTTTTGGGGATGCAGGGTTTCGGATTTGGGG